TGTGTGTGTGTGTGTGTGTGTGTGTGTGTGTGTGTGTGTGTGTGTGTGCGTGTGCGTGTGAGTGCAGATGCCTGCAGAGGCCAGTAGAGGGCATAAGATCCTCTGGAGCTGGAGTGACAGGCGATGGTGAGACACCCAATATCAACCCTAGGAACTGAATTCAGATCCTCTGCAGTAGCAGAAAGTGCTTTTAACAGCTGAACCATACTTCTAGTCTCTCTCTGTACTTCTAAAAACTCTGTCTGGTATATTTATTGCATGGCTTTTTAGGAATTTGGTACATGTATGTTTTTTTTTTTTATCTTGTTCTCATTTCTTCAATGTAAAACATGCACTTCTCGGACTATTTGAAAACACTTTAGAAAGTTAACATATGCTGTACCCAAGAGTTTATCAAGGAGCACACTGTAGCTCCCTCCACCAGAATTTGCAATCACCCTGGGTACCATGTAAATATCAGTGCTATAACTGGAAGCCCGAATATGGAGAGATTTGTTGTTGCTGTTGTTGTTGCTGCCAGTGCTTTGTTTAGTTGGTTTGGGTGGTGGTGGTGGTGTTTGCTTGATAGGGATTTTGCAGTCCTGGCTCATCTCAAACTCTTTATGTTGCTTTGAACTCTGTGTTCTCTTTTCTTAGGCTCCTGAGTGCTGGAATTACAAGCAGGAGACATCACACTTAGCTATGAGATTACTTTTTCTTATACTTGTATTTTATTTTAGCTTAAGAAGATTTAAAGGAGCTTGTGATGCATAATATATAATGTTCTTGAAAAACACACGCAGTCCATACTTGCTAGAAGAAATAAAGATTCGAAATCTGTCAGTGAAAAACTGAGTCGCTTCCTTCTACCCAGCATGGCACATCACCTTAAAATCTGGCAGAAGAACTTAGCTGGTTTGGTATGGGAAAGGCTGCATTTTACAGGGTCCTCAATGCCACTCTTCCTTATTTTAGAATCACAGTTACCTACTCCTTGAGACTTGCTGAACGCACGACAATCTGTATTTGACGTACCCATAAGTGACCTTATTTACAAAGCACACCTAATTTCTACACACGTGTTTTGGCTCTAGATGGCATATGCATTTCTTATTTGTATGTTAATTTACTCTATACACAAACATGTTAAGAGTCATTCCCACTATACTTACAGGTCTCTCTCTCTCTGTGTTTTGACAGATGACAAACACCCCGAGGTGGACTTTCACTGCAGTCCCTGCTTGCCTGGGTCTGTGAATTTCTTCCCCAAGAAAGAAAACAGAGTATTTTGGATTTTTTTCTTCTTCGGGCCACATGTTTGAATTCTTTTCTTGCCATTAAACACACAGAGACAAACTTTCTTACGATAACTTGAACTTCTGGATGCTGATTGGCCCCGTGAAGGACTGGGACTCTGCGCTTGAGAAGTGGGGCAGAATTGCACAGACTCTTCTGGTGAGCAGCACAGACGGACTTGGTACAGCAGTGTCTCCAACTCCAGCCTCGCCAGGACATCGTCACGTGTTTTAGCAGTTTGATTCCTCTACATAAGTTTGAAAAAGGAGCGTAACTTTTTAACAGGAAAGCATTCAGGTGTTGAGAGCAAGTGTCTATCTAATAAGCTATGAACTTAACGAGATTTAAAATAACACATGGGAAAGCAGGGGCATCGTGCAGTGTTTGTGCCAAGCTGCCATGGGACACCACAGACTTGTATGTCCTTCTCAGCAAGGCTTCTGGCGATAGGACCTTCAGTAATTCACGAATTGCAACATTGTCTCTCTGCTCTTAAAGGGAGCAGTTCAGCTAAGGGCACCTTCCAAGTGTCACTAACAGTTCCAAGGCCAGATGACTAAATGTTCAGCTAAAGCCATAAAAAGGAAAACCAGATACTGCCAGCTAACCATGGTTCCAGTCCAATCTTACTTTTGAGTCAACATCAACTTAAGATTTCTCACAATTTGTGCTCAGGCAGCACACACACAAAAAGGGCAAAAGTAATAAGATTTTAAATTATTTATCAGTTATTCTACATCTAACTAAGTCTGTGACTTTATAAAATAAAATAATTTTGTCTATATTGAAATAGTTAACTTTAAAAACTATCTGAGTTCTTTAACAGTGTCCATGTGGTACACCTTTACCTGCTTGTAAATCCAACAGCCTCTTTTTCCTTCCTCAACCTGCCCTCTGGATTTCTTTTCCCAGCCCCCATTCCCTTAGTTCAGCAAAGATTCAGTGTCTACCTAGGCACTCACAGCACCACACAGTCACCTCTGTGGGCGTCTCAAGAAAACATGAGACTCTGGGATCTGTTGTTTCGCCCTGGGAGCCTGTACCGGGTGCACTCTGTCCACCTATAACTAAGTGGTGTGGTCTGCGAATCTGCTGTCGACTCCCACAGCTTTATTTTTATCTGTTTTTACAGCAGTTTTCAGTAGCCGCTAGCCGGTCATTTGTACCACCCTCTTCTGAGAGTTAAGATCAGTGACCACCACTGAGCGCAGGGTAAATGCCACCACCAGAGAAATGACCATTGCTCACCGCCATGGGTATCTATCTGTCATCTACCATTTCATCCTCACAGACTGAGTTCTGCACAGTGTTCCCCATCAGGACCACTTATGGTTGCTGCAAGGACACTCCATTTACAGGACCAGGTGACAGAGCAGGAGCATGGGCTTTGAAGCAAAGTTGGATTTGACTCATCATACACCATGCACAGGTCCTGTGCCCTTGAGAAAGCTTTATTATATATCACTAGGTCTCAAGTTATCCTACCCATGAGCTGAAAACAGTGCTTCCTGTAGAGTTATTGTGATAATCTCTCTGAAATATATGCAATGTGTCAGATCAGTAAGCAATGACTGATTAATTCATTGTTCAGAATTGTCTTCAAGTACTTGATATGAGCTCTCAGTTTTGACTTCAAACTGACTTCCTTACTGCCTGTAGTTGAATGTCAAGGGCAGAATCCACTTCAAACCCATGTGTTAATATGTGTAAGACCTCGGCATCAGTTCTACCATTGCAGAATGTCCCACGTGTTCTCTCCTTGTCCTTGGACAATTCTTATCTGCGTCCTCATCTGTACCCTCATCCTGATGTTACGTGGAACCCACAGTATCATAGCACACTGCCTTAAACACGTTCACTCTCTGTGGTTTTTCCTCTTGAAATACAATGGCTAGAGCCCCTTTCCTATATTTTCTTTATCTATCTCTTAGCTCCATGTCATCCGACACCTAGAAAGCTGCTGTTGATTTAGTTAGTTATCAGCAGTGGTGACATTTATTTACAAGACTACTAGTCTGTAGTAAGAAAGACTTCGGTGGGAAGCTGCTTCCGTATTATCATTCCGCTGAGGAAATTTCATTATTAACTTTCTGATTTTTGTGTCTGTATCCAAGTGATCTAATCACACTCAGTTCAGCACAAGAGTGTAAAGCTCCTTTAGTGGATGTAAATAATAATGAAGCAACTGTAAAAAAACAAAAAAAAGTTTGACAAAGGTGATGTCCAGACACCAGACTGGCCCTTTCGTGACTCACCTAAACTCCGAGAGAAAAGGTGTGTGTCTGTATAAAATACTCCTGGTGCTGTTTCTTAAAACAGGCTTCAGTTTTTAGTGAAGATTTAGGTTCTCAACAAAACCAAGTGGAATCCAAAGGACCCTTCACCTTTTTGTCCAGGGAAAGCGTCTGCTGCAGAGCAGGTTCACCCAGAACACCAACTTCTGCTGCATTGTGCACTCGTCCTGTGGTTCAGAGACGCGTGAAGCAGCTTTAAGGTCCTTGTCCTCGGTATCATCAGTAAACACTCTCATCATGATGTAATGGGGTTGACACAAGGGCTAAACCTCCCAATAAACCACTGAGCTCCACTGAGCTGCTGCCCCAGCACACAGCATATAGAGAAGCGGAGTTGATCAGTGGTTTTAACCCAATTATAACACCAACCATAAGACTTATGGGTTAAACACATGAAATTGCATAACATTAATGTGCTAAGTGGATGTACAGACACAAGTTCTTGCCCCTTTTCACATACATGCAACGGAGTCTTTTCGCTATATGTAATATATTTGTAAAGATACTACATGTATTGTGTGTATGGTTCTTTATATAATGTAACAAATATATAAGCTACTGTGTGTAATATATCACTTGTTACATATATCTAGCATGTCCCGTGTGTATTGCATGTAATATGTTTTGTATCACTTTAGCCCTCTGGCATTTGCACCGGAGGAAATGAGTTACTGAAAAGTCCAGTCTCCAGTGCTGTCTTCTTGCACCAGCACAAACCAGTGTGAATGAAAATGGGCAGAGGAAAGTCCGCTAGGCTGTGATGTGAGGCCAGGATAACAGGAAAGGCTGCCAAGCCTGCTGTAAGCGCCGGGCCTGGAGAAAGCAGCTGTGCTGGCATTCAGAGACGGGGCTTTCATTCGAAGCTGTATTTGTTCCAATCTCCCCAGGAGAGAAGAGAAAGGCAGGTCCATTGCCTTGTACAGGTACATGTAGATATGTGTCTTGTAGTTATATAGTAGTCTACAAGACACAGAAAATTCAGACTTGAATTGGTCTGCTCTTTTGTTATTTATGAGAAAAGCTGAAAATTAAGATAAAGATGGAGTGAAAGCTATAGAAGTCTATAGATTATATTTAAAATGACATAGCCTTCCCCTACCCTCAGTATTTAGAACTGTATTTGGGGTGTGTTAAGGTAACTGTCACAGTGCGGGCATCTTAAGGCTCTGTTCACTATATTTTACTTGCTATAATGACGTAACTATCTCCCTGTCTTGATTCGTGCTTATGTGTTTCAGGAATCTGCGGTTTACTAACGGTTTTGTTGATTTTTATTGCCTAGGAAATACTGTAAATATAAGTGGTTCTTGTTTTAACTATGTCCTAAGGCTTGGTTTTTATTAAATGAAATGTTTTTTATATAAAGATAATTTGTGTGAAGCCCGTTCTGATATCCTTTACAGTTGCTTTTGAATACTGGCCACATTGTGGGTTTCTAGGACCCGGCCTTTGTGTGTCTTGGGATCCAATAGAACCAGCGCTGCTGGAGCCAAGAGCACAGATGGGACCAGTAAAGACATAGTCGTCCATGATCTGACTGTAGCACATGGGAGTGGTGCCGAAGCTCCTGGACTGTCACCGTGTGGCATTTAATTGGCATGAAGTTCTGTGTGCTCCCTGTCTCCCCAGCACAGAGAATGATCTGCAAGAACCGTGCTTTGGGTTTTGAATGAGTTTCTTCAGTTTGTAGCAAGACAAGGTAAAGGAGTCAATAGTGATCAGCATCTAGAGAGAAGCAGCAGCCGACCCCAGAACATCGGATTCCATGCTCGCAGCATCCGGCAGAGATGACTGGAGGAACACATTTGAGACAGCAAGAAAAGGCGACATCATCAGATTGGGGCTGGCAAACACCCAGCAGAGGGAGGCTGAAGAATCCCTGCTGAGGCAGCCAGATGGAGTTCCCAAGTGAGGTCCAGGCGGAGCAGAGTGTCCCCTCGGGTGAGATTTCCAAGCGAAGCAGCGAATATCAGCAGAAGATGCCGTGACTAAATTGGATGGTTATCGCAGCTATCAGGCACCGACTGGGACGCTGAGGCAGTCAGCTGGTGCTCCTAATTGAGCTTTCTCTCCATAGATGAGCTTCCCATTCTTACTGTAGACAATTTTATATTATGGGATAGACAATACTAACCTTGGCTGGAAATGAAGTTTTTAAGGGCACGGTGTTTTCAATACTTGAAACCGTGAACTGTGTTTCTGTCTTCCCATCGTAGAGCCAGGGAACAGCTTGACACAGGATAGGGCAGGGTGTGTTGGAGGACCCTTGACATAAACAAGCTTGGGTCTGCCGTGGAAAGAACAAGCAACTTCTGCAGCCTGCTCCAGAGTGAACACACGAGACCTTGCCAACATGCATTACATATGCCCTCTTTGGGCTGTTTGGGACAGACTTTATTTAGGTTTGAGCAAACTGATGAAGTCACTAGACTTTTTATAGAGAACAATTATAATTATGTTTTAATATGGAGTGACTATCCTAATAGAAAGTGAAATAAACGCAAGCCTACATGTAAGAGAACGTTTACCAAGGTTTATGCCTTTCCTAGGCACGGGTGAACGTGAGCCACACCTACAGGCCACAGAAGGCAGAGGACATAAGGCATAGAGGGTAAATGGAGCATGATCTGCATCTAAGATAACGAAAGAAAATGAACATTTGGAAAGGGCTTAGGCTAATGTGTAGTGGTTCCTTCTCGTAAATAAGCACACTAGCGAGTGTCACTGTTCAGTTTAATTCTTTGGTGATTGACAGTAATGGTTTATTGATTTAATGTTTGGCTGAAATGCCAAATTCATTTCAGCGCTTTAGAGTTACACATGAAATATTTGTGGTGCCGTACTTGGGTGAAGCAAACACGATTCTGCACACATTTACAGCAAGAGTTGAGCAACAAGCACTGAGATGCGCAGCCAGGGAGAGGAGAGGAAATGAAATGTGTCCAGATAAACCACATCACTGAAATCTCAGCATGAAGCAAAGCAAGGGCTCCCAATAACATTGAAGATTAAATCAAGGAGGATGATAAAATGTGGAAGACCTGTAAGTGTGGCCTGACAATCTGTCTCTATAAAAAAAATTCACTGAGTGCCCTAAGGTGTGTGGGGAAGGCTTTGGTGATAAAGGATATTATATAGATTTTTAAGCAATATTAAATAAATGTTGTTCTAAGGAAATGGGGGGGGAGGTAGAAGGTCTTAGAAAAAGGAAGGAAAGATCAAACTTGTTTGTGTTTCCTTGAGCTCACCGAATAAATACTCCGTTCTACACACTTCTCTCAGTTCTGTCTTTACAACAGGATTCAATCTAAGCATCATTCATTCCCCACCTGAATTACCGGGCCTGGCTTTTGATCTTGGACTCCCAGATAATCTTCTATGCCAGTTGCCAGAGTCAATTTGTTCATAAGTTGAAAACCGGCTTGTCATTTCCTTTCTTAACTCTTACATGGTTCTCCCGTGAGATTCATGATAAAATTCAAAGCAGGAATGTAGTCCATGGTGGTTTCTCCCATCCTGTGTCTTTCATGTTCATCTTGCTCTCTAGGGAAGGTAACTTGTACCTAGTATCCCTACACACTGGGGGCTCCAACCTCATCCCTATGTGAAAACTCTAACTCATGTGTCAGCTAAAAAAAACCCCACTTTTTCAAGGATCCTTTTTCTGCTTTGCTTGTGAGTCTTTAAAGACTGAGTCACCTCTCCAGTTCAACTTTTTCTTTTTTTATTGACTGAAACTGAACCCAGGGTCCGATTGTTAATTAGGCAAGCCCTCTACCACTGCACACTCTAACTCAGCTTCTCATTGCTGGGAGCTGCTTGTTTGTTCCCAACTGCCCAGCCCTGAAATAATCACACAGAAACTGAATTAATTAAGTCACTGCTTGGCCCATTAGTTCTAACTTCCTATTGGTTAACTCTTACGTATTAATTTAACCCATTTCTATTAATCTGTGTATCACCACATAGCTGTGGCTTTCTGGCTAAAGTTCCATCTAGCTCCGGTAGGGGCTACATGGCTTCTCTCTGACTCCGCCTTCTTTCTCCCAGCATTCAGTTCAGTTTTCCCCACCTACCTAAGTTCTTCCCTATCAGGCCAAGCCAGTTTCTTTATTCATTAACCAATAAAAGCAACACACAGACAGAAGGACCTCCCACACCAGCTTCTTTTCTTGAAAATATCTCTGTATTATGATTTGTTAATTGATCTGCCCATCATTGTTATACTACAAAGTGAGGACTGCCTTCTTCCTGCTGTCAGGCATGTCTGTCACAGTGTATAACAAAGAGATGTCACTCCACAAATTTTTTCTAGTAAAAGAAAGAATAAAATGTTGTGCAGCAGCTAAATATGAAAATGTAAACAGAAACAATAATCCCAGCCGTATAGAGGATGTCATTCATGTACAACAGGGGATCACTCACAGTTTCTGGATAACACCCCCACCACACTGAAAGGCACATTGGTACCAAACAAAGAAAATGATAGATGCTAGAGGGAGCTCATGGGGATTTGGTAGGACATCACCAAACCTACCACTCACACAAATCATCCAGGGTTGGCTAGATAAGAGTATTCTGGCTTCTTCTCTTGAGATTGTGAGTAAGTTTGGTGTGGGGTCTGAGATTTTCTGTTTTTTCAAATGAATTCTTCCCCAGGTGATTTTTCCTATTGGGCAGGTTTGACATAATTACGGTAGGTTTTGTTTTTTGGTTTTGGTTTTGGTTTTTCTGAGTAACATCCCTGGTTCTCTTGGGACTTGCTCTGTAGACCAGGCTGGCCTCAAATACACAGAGGTCGACCAGTCTCTGCCTCCAGAATGCTGGGATTAAAGGTATGTGCCACCACCTTCTGGTCTACAGTAGGTTCTTAATCATCATCCTTCAGCCAGCACCTCAACACTGGCTGGAAGGTCCTCCTTCAGAGCTACTGAGTAAGACCTTCTCACAGTGGTTATCAGCAGCCTGTGCATGAGAAGCTACAGGTGACCATCAGGGTGGTGGGGTCTACCGGTGACCATCGTGGGGGGATCTACAGGTGACTATTGGGGTGGTGGGGTCTACAGGTGACCATCAGGGTGGTGAGGTCTACAGGTGACCATCGGGGGGCATCTACAGGTGACCATTGGAGTGGTGGGGTCTACAGGTGACCATCAGGGTGGTGGGATCTACAGGTG